GGGATCTCCAGTTTCTTGTGATTGTTATTATGTCAAGATGTGCAACTTGCATTAGCTTTCATGTCACTGTGCTTGCCCTTACTTTACATGTAAATTTTAATGAAAAATACAGCACTTTAAAAATCAGATGTCCGTCAGAAGTGCTATTAGCCTGCCTTTTACAAAGCATGTGTCCTGTTTTGCTACCTCTGCATCTCTACACAACATTGAATGCCTCAAATGAAGAAAACAGAGGAAGGAAAAAAAAGCCTTTCAATGATATCAATTAAATACTCTCTTTGGGCAGAGTGAAACCTGAGCCTCACTGAAAACAGAAGACTACAATACAGCCTAAGATGACAGTATTTTAGCTCCTGTTTACACACAAGGCAACCACAATGCCTTTAACTCTCACAGGAATCATTCTTCTTAATGAAAATGAAAGCCAGCAAAGAATCAGCTGTTTATTCACACTTCAGGAAGATACCGTTTTAAAATAAGGTAAAAAGAAAACATATAAGAAAAAACTAGTTACCTACAAACTACAAAATATTTAACACACTATTAAATATCTTATGCATGCAGATTATTTGTAAACACACATGCTCATATGCACAAACAGAAAATAATTTACCAGAAATGTCCTATTTAATGTCTCATATGTTTGACTTCATAAATATATAACAAAGAGGTATAAAAAGAAGAATAAGACATCTATTCCTTTGCATTAGCTGATATTGAACATTTAAGTGACTTCATTCCCCAACGTTCAGAAAATGTCATCACCTCTGGAATAAAACAAAATAGGATGAACACCTTGCAGAAACGTCCCCAATATCTTACATTTGAAATTCATCAACTATCAATTATCCCAAATTAGACTTCTATGAATTACATTAAAATATTTACTTCTTCCCTAAATAAAATAAGAAACCAGCATCAAAAATTTACCTACAAAAACATTTCAGAAGGATGATATCTTCATTCAAGGAGTATTGATTTTATCAAACAAGTTTTGCAGATTCGGTATTTGCTAACCATAAAATAAAATGCTTGATTTTTTTAAACAGTCATTAAGAGTCAAGTTAAAACTAAAAGTCACCATCCTTACAACAATGCAGGATTTTTTTCCCACTAAAGGAAAACAAACCCACTACCACACATATTTTACTCCTTTCCTTAATACTTTTAAATGTAGAAAACAAAACTATATAATATTCACATTTAAAACCCAAATACTAAGACACTTTACAGGGCAAAGCAGAGCTTAAAAACCACTGCCAAGGCTGGCAAGATGAACATAGTGTTGTTTTTCCCCTTGTATAATTAGACATTTATAGAGCACAAATGATTGAATTTGTTAGTGATGCTTGACTTCAACATTTGCATAAACTCTTGGCCATTCAGATGGACTTATTTACATAGAACCATTTAGGTTGTAAAAGACCTTTAGGGTCATCGAGTCCAGCCATTAACCCAGCATAAGCACCACATCTACACGTCTTTTAAACTTCTCCAGGATTGGTGAGTCAAACAAGTCCCTGCGCAGCCTGTTCCAATGTTGATAACTTTGTCCATAAAGAAACTTTTCCTAATATCCAATCTAAACCTCCCCTGGTGCAACCTGAGGCTATTTCCCATCATTCTATCACTTGTTCCCTGGGAGAAGAGTCTGACTCCCAGTTTGCTATAACCTCCTTTCAGGCAGTTATAGAGAGTGATAAGGTCTCCCCTGAGCCGCCTTCTCTCCAGGCTAAGCAACCCCAGCTCTCTCAGACACTCCTCCTAAGACTTGTGCTCCAGACCACTCACCAGCTTTGTTGTCCTTTTCTGGAAACACTCCAGCACCTCAATGTCTTTCTTGTAGCGGGGGGGGGGGGTCCCAGAACTGGACACAGCACTTGTGGTGCAGCCTCACCAGTGCCAAGTACAGAGGGATGATCCTTTCCCTAGTCCCGCTGGCGATACTATTTCTGAAGCAAGTCAATACAAATCCTAATGGTTGTACTGGTGAAAAAGAACTTGAAATTATTTTCCAGATCAGTAAGGTCCAGTCATTTCCTTCTATTCAAGCTCACAAATCCTATTTCATTTTTTCTGTGCCATTACCTTCAGATCAATATTATTGAACAATTTCAAAAAATAAGAACCTCACACTGCTCTCTGAGAGCAATGCTAAACTTTCCAAGAGTTAAAAAATCTACTTGAGCAGGTAGGACCAAGGGAGATAATCTGATCTTGTAAGGCTGATTATTACACAGGGACATTGGCGGTAGCCTTTGTTCTAAACGACATGCACTTAAAAATGTCCCACCCCTGAAATATGTGAGTAGTCTTTCATTTCTCTCTGAGAATGAAGAAAAGACCTTCTTCATACTGAAAATGAGTGTGCCACTGTACAGTTTTTCACACCAAGCACAGCTGCTGATGGAAGGAAGGACCCACATGCCTTAGAGAAGAATCAGCAGTCTGCAGACTGCATGGCTGCTACAGAAGTGTCCTGTGCACATCCAGAAACCAGCCATACCTCACTGTCATTCTCTGCGTCAGAGAAGACATTTAGGACTTTTCAGTTCTTTGGGTTCTTGGTTCACTGGATTCAATGTGAACTTTGCTATTGCCTTCAAGAAGACAAAGGATTTCATTTACCAAAAATAGCAAATTCCCATTAGGAATACTGACAATTTTAAACAGGGACATGAATCTCAAAAAAAATCAGATCCAAATCAAGAGTGATGGTAAAACAAAACCCACTGCATACATAAGACAACCGTGAAAGGTAGCAAAAAGCCAAATAATCATTTCCTTAACAAAGGGTTATAAAAGAACAAATTATATGGAAGAACATGACTACACATTAACTCTAGTTCAACAGCAAATTAGAGTTGGATATTTATGATTTTCTTTGGTGTCATTTACTTGTAGGGGAGTGTTAGAGAAATAAACATAATACAATTGTTCCTTAATTGTCAATACTTCTCCAGAAGAGAAGTTGTATTCAGCAATTCATGCCAAACTAAATAGAAGTCCTCCCTGCTCATCACACATTTACCTCACCTCCACAACCAGTTCTATACATCAAATAAAAACACAAACAATGCATATGCACTCAGTTTGTTTAAATGCAAGTGGTATCTCAACTATTCCAGCCATTACCCCAGTACACCTACAATTCATCTTACTGAACTTATTAAAAAAAAATTAAAATCTCCTGGACGTTTTAAAAATATAGATGCTTTCCTACAATGAAAACAACTAATGAAACACTTGTTTCAAATGATGAATGCAAGCTTACATACTTGCACATAGTAATATGTTGAGAAGAGGTTTTATGAAATCAAATACATTATATCCAAAATTAAATCAAATGCATCACATGCTTTGGCTCCATATGTGGCATGAGACAGAGTTGTTGCCAGTTTTTACTAAAAACTACAAGAATGCCAAAAAAATATGAACCTTCCATGCAATCATTAAGAGGTCTGGTACCACCTTCTCTGTGAGCTGAAGGCCATGCGTGAGTTCGAAATTACAGTTTGAGCCCTCTGAAAGCAATGCCATTTTTCACGCAGAGTGATGGTTCTCTGATGAAGTCACTCAGTATAACTAGAGTTAAAAACTACACACAGCTGAGAAGTGAAATGATATTTTCACTCAACAATATGATACATTAAGTTTCAGTACATTTGAATTAATTGTGAACTATATATTATAATCCTCATGCCTACCAGCTCAGTTAGGAGTTCTGCCTTGGAAAAGACTTTTAGCTTAGTCCTACATAGGCTGGCCTGCAGCACAAATGCCACCCAAGAAAAGAAGGGAGCAACATGAGCGAATACCACACTACACAAAGACTTGTCCTGATCTACAAAGACCCTTAAATCACACTAAGCCATACATCAGCTAACTGAATTATTGGCAGCTGTGTTGAGGTACAGTTACATTTTGTATGGTGTGCTTAGAAGCATTAGGTTCTCATATTTTTTACAGTGCATATATCTGATTATTATGTTCTGATGTTCACCTATTGCTAAGAAGATACCTCTGAATATCTCCCAAATTCATAGTTGCACAATTGGTCATTTCATTCCCCAATATCTTATTAGCATGGACACAACCAACATCCTCCAACATGTTCAAACCATGCTGATCAATAGATCAATTCTTCAGCAATGTATTCGTTGTGTAAGCCTCAGCATAACAAAACCTTTTAATCTTTCTATCTCATTGAAAAATAGGACCAAAAAAAAAGATTTTTCTCAAGCCATGCTTATAATTTATCAATTAATCTTCACCCCTCCTTCCAGTCGAACTGGAGACCCACAGCAGGTTTGAAGCATTTTGTCTTTTTGACAGTTTGATTAGGGATGGATGACTGCCCTCTGCATGCCTAAGACAGGTGTGAAGAAGAGCAAGTTCGAGCCCCAGAACAGCTTGCATGCCCTGTGCTGTACTGAGCTGCAAAGGAAATGCACCTCTCTGTTTAGCAGTGCTGATCACTTCTGTTTCCTCTGCAGCTTTTCGGAACTCAATTTCTCTTTGCAAAACACTTTGCACTAAGAGAAAGGATGGGAAGCAGATCTGGAGGGAGAAACGATAGCTGAAAAGACCTCGAAGGGTGGTGGACAAGCCCAGGTTCTGCTTCCACCAACGCCAGTGCCAAAATTAGCAGTAGTGGCATCACTCCAGTGCAAGAGTCAGCATTATCAGCTCACTGGCCTCTGGCTCTGTCTTTGACTGAACTGACAGTCCCTTTGCACCCCAGCATCACCAGCTACAGACAGCCTGACATTGAGCCACCCATACTTAGTGTGAACAGGGAGAAAAATAACATCTCTTAAGAAGGCCTCAAAGCATTCATCTTAATACATATTTCCTCCATAATTCAATACAAAAGATTGTTAAGAGACTTAAAAATAAAAGCATTAATTTCCAATATGAAACACATTCATAGAAATACAGTTTGTCCATTAAAAAACATTGTACAAGCAATGAAGTCTTAGAAAGAATGCAATCTCTACCTTTACTTCTACCTACAGACAGGAAGATGCGCGTCCAGTTAAGAGGAGGAACAAGAAGGGTATCCATCATGGAGAAGGCAAAAGAGAAGAGAAGGAGAAAGCATAAAAAACCAGAAAAACATGTCACTGGCCATACTTAGAAAAACAAGGAAATGAGCATATTTACGTAGCAGCCAAACCCAGCAAAATACAATGTAAAAGGAAATACAAGACATACCACAACTAAAGCACAAAGCAAAGCTTAAACCACCAACAGTACAACCAGCAGTGGCTTGGTTAAGCCCTTTGGCTTTGATTTTCTACTGAGAAATGCAAACTGTGATATGCCTCAGTCCACATCAAATTCAAAACAGCAAGGGAAACAACAGAATAGTATAGAAAAAAAATAAATCTTATGGTTATATATTTGCTAAACATATCTCACCTACCAGAGCAAATATATGTTGACATTGCATATTTAATCACACATATATATTTACATATTTTATATCTATCATATTTTTATAGAGAGTAAATATTTATCAAAAAGCACTATCTGTGAGTTTGTTAGCAAGAAAAGAGAAGCCATTGTTCCCCAATGTGTCACAGATAAACAAGGGTGGCTAAAGGTGCCAAAAGCCAATAGTTTTCACATTTTTTTGCCAGACAAGGGAGTATAGAAAGTACTGATGATCATACAGGCCTGGATAGGTCATGCAAGTCTTCATGAGCCAGCTGGGTTGCAACTTTTAATTTAAATGGACAAGTGCAACTGTTTATATAATCCAGTGCTAAATCACAGACTACTACAAAGAAATGTTCAGTGTTACTGAGAATGAAAGTGGCCATCAAAGTTCACTGTCCTGATCACTTCCAACATACCTTCCTCTGTTAACAGCTTGCCATACTCAACCGCATCCTGAGTAACTAGGATACGCTGAAGGGACCTCTCTGCTGGATGCTCCCTCAGCTGGTGTTACCTCTCAGTCATGTGACCGGTTGAACAGTCAGTGGTGATAGAGAAGGAGCTCAGTGCTTCCCGGAGTTTAGCCAAATGCTCCACATGCCAAACACTGTGGTCTTGACATGCACCCATAAAAAGCCCAGTTTTCCTACCTTTCCTACAACACAGAGATGTTAAGCACTACAGAAACTGATAAGTGAGCCCCAACTTCACCTCTGATGGTTTCCTAACCTTTCATGACCTCAGAACAGACTTGACCAACAGAATAAAAACTGATTATGTCCTAAGCCTCTCTACATTTCTTTGAGATACACAGAAACTATTTCTCTTTTATTCAAGCACCTAATTACTCTTGAGCCTTCACATGAACTATGTTCTATCTTATTAACTCATTGGAGTGTCTAACCTCAGATATGCGCTTACTTAACAGCAAAAAAAACCCAAAACTTTTGTGTACATCTAGTCTAGGAAAGCCTCATCAGGCTTTAGAGTCAAAACTCACATTGTCTCCCCACAGACAAACAATTGGTCTGGTCTTTCTAATGCACCACATGCACACACCTTGCATTAAGTCTTTAATCGTTTCACTTCTGCATTCACAAGACTAGAAGGCATCAGTAGTGCTGCTAACTTCTGTGTACCCATGTCAGCACTGCCTCTGGCACTGTCAGAGGAAAACAGAATCACACCTCACTTCAGCTGTCTTCACCAGCTTCTTACTCCACACCCTCGTAGTGCAAAATGGGAGTAATGATCCCATCATGTCACCATCAATAGATCTGTAACTCACTGCAAGCTGAGATATTAAAATGTGATCTCTGATCTGGGCCTAGATCCCATTTGTAGCCCATTCTGGAGTTAGCCCTGTTGTTCTTCTAAACCATTTTGTTCTGTGCGCATTTGAGTATTTTAAATTGCAGACACAGGACAACCGGCCATTATATGCAATTTTCCTCAGGATTCATAATGAGTTAGGATCATGCCATGAGGGCGATTAACATACTTTTTGTAATAATTGCACTCTTGAAAATGAAGACCAGCACTGAGGTCTACATTTAGTAGGCAGAAGTGGGAGTCATTACAGCTGGCACAAGAAGAAATAAATGGCAAGATAAAATAACTGGTGGGCTGCATGGAAGGGGGAAGCATACCCCTTTTCTGTCCATGGAATCATTTCATGCTCCCTCCTGGGTCCCTGAGTCCCAGGCTGATCAGCAGCCTTGGCTCATGGGACAAAGAGGCAAAAATGCAAATGGCTTGACTGGCACTCAGTAGGCTTAGTTGTTTTTGTTATGCAAAGCCCAGCTCAGAAAAGTAACAGAGACAAAGCTCTTTCATGATCAGTGACTGAAACAAAGAAAAAGTCAAAGGACTTACCTTGTTCACCCATCATCAGGTGTGAGAGGCCTTTGAGAGAGAGAGAGAGAGAGAGGGGAAGTAAGAGAAAAAGAAAACTGGAAAAGAAGCAGCAATATCCATGCACACTGGTCGCAGTCCAATACCTGTCAGGATTGGAGCTCACATACTTGAATTAGATCAAGTATGGGTGTAGCACACAGGACACAAACATTTACAGGTGCTGCTTTCCACACTGAGCAGGAAAGCATCTGTTGCAGGCAGAAAAAACCTGCTGGTCCTTGCAGAACTGTGTTTGAGGTTCAGCATATCCCTTGGAGGGCAACTCCAGAGGCACTGCACACCAGTACAGCTAAATGGGCTACAAAAGCCAAGGTCTGCAATGAGAGTCTGCAAGGGAGCATTTGCTTCTCTGAAGAGATACAGAAATAACTTCTCCTTAGCTGAAGACTTTAAATTCAAGGGTGCACTGGTCAGTAAAAGGGAGGCCATGATCACACCACATCTGCTCCAGATGAAACATCTTGGCTAAGTGCATACACATACACACAGCTATCCTCATTCTTGAATGTGTGCCTTCATAATGTATTTTTAGGAGTCTGTCAAGATTGCTCACACTTACTAATTAGACACCAGTACACCAGACATAGTAAGGACTAAAAAAATTACCAGTAACCTGTTAAATACACCTCCGTTCCCTTTCTGGGAAGATGTGCAGACTCACTTTCCTAGGGCAGTGTGTTACTTTATGGCTCTTCAGCTAAAGCTACTCTTTGGTTTCATAACTGCCCTCAGTAGTGACAGTCACTGTCAGCTCTGTAGACAAAGTTATAGTGTTTACTTGGGCTGCTCCAGTCTTTTGGTTTGATAATTCTTTCTGGCACAAACCTTGTTTGTTTTAATTAAAATCCATTTCTAGGCCAAATTTTCAAATATGTTTACTGTACAATTTTTTTTATACAAACATTGTTTAGGTACTATTGTACATATATTCATGCCCAAGCCATTAAGCATTAAGTGACCCATCAGTCAATATTGTGATACAAGATATCACAGATCTAATATAACAAAAATCAAGTCCTTCCCACTCAAGCCATAAGTGACCCCTTTTGTACTCGGTTCCCTAACCAACTTCCCTGAGCTTGATTACTTCTCCATATCTCTTGTCTCTCATAGCACTTAGTATGGCAGGGGTTTTGATAGATGCACACACAACACACACACACCATATCTTAAGTCAGTTTTTTAATCAAACAAGGCTGTGACTTTTTAATTTCACAGAGGCTGAAAGGTCAAATGAATTTATTACAAGGAGAATTTTCAACAAGCAGCATGCTGAGTTTGAATTTGTTTATTTCTCTCTCTTTTATATTTTTCCTTTATGTTGGCTGAAGAAATCTAAAATCCAGATCATCCTAAGAATATGTTCACCCACAGAGAACTCCAAGCCAGATAAGGGGATTAATAATTGTACAGTCTAAGGAATGCAAATATCTTAATGTTCTTGAAGATTATTGTGGATTTAGAAAAATAATCAGAAACACAACATAGGTTTAGATTTTTTTAGCTCTTTTAGCTATAAATAAACATAGCAGATTTGATACTGTAGGACACTTCTGGTTTAATTTGGAAGATATAATTCAGTGAATTTGTATCTCTATTTATGGCCACTAACCCCATCATTCTTGATAGGCAAATCTTAAGTCTGACCAAATGGACACTTGAAAGGCATTGTAAAAGGCAAGAAGACAAAAGTATAATTGTTAGGACCTATAACACACAGAGACCCTGTAGCAATGGCATAAAAAGAGAAAAGGCTAGAAGGTGTCACTATGGTATGTAGCTGAAGCTGGCTGAACAGGGAGAGAACATTAGATCTGAAGCAGAGATAGGGGTCCTCAGCCCTTGTAGACCGTGGGAAAGGAAAGTCATCCCTAAGAGGCCCAGCACCAACAGATGCAGCTGCTGGAGCTGGCAGGGGTTTTGTCCCCTTGAACACGGATGAAGAGAAACCTCCAGAGAAGGTTCAAAGCAAGAGTCTGCATTAAACATCCTGAATCACACCATAAGAAGATCCCTTCTCTCTCCACCAGTCACAGAGCAGCTATAAAAAGCCTCAAAATGTCAGGAATGTCAACACCCCTTTTTGTCCTTTATCCCCAGAAGGCCAGTGCTGTGTGCCCTATCTGTCAGGTACATCAGCCAGATGCAGCCCCAAGCCTTTTGCCTGCAGTTAAGGAGTGAGTGCAATCCCCAAATACACCCACTACTGTGGTCCCTGGTTTAGCCTTGGTTCAAATGCCTTCGAAGGAAGTGTCCTTAAGAAATGTTCTGACACTTCTTCATAAATTGGAAATACAATAGCAGCTGTGGTGTTGTATGTACCTCTTGATCTTCCAGTCCCAACTGGACAATGAAAGCAGGGAGATAAATGAAAAACAGTGCACTCCCCCTCAATGCTACTTTTTCCTTTTTAAAATGTGAAGAAAAAGGAGGGTAGATTTGGAGATGGAGCAAAAAATCAATATTATATCTTAAATTGTTCATCAACGCAGATCCTTATTTTAACAAAGAGAACATCCACAGAATTCCAGATTCATTATTAGATAGAATAATAATATAACATTATGAAATAACATATCAGCTTTTCTCATCTGAAAATTTTCCTCCCTTGCAATTCAAAGTAGGAGTGAAAATAAGTGTGTTTATCTCCAACAAAATGTCATTAACCAAAACCTTCAACCACTGAGATATAAAATCTGTGACATTTGCAGCATGTGTAACAAAGGCCTCAAATTAGTCAGAGTAAAATGAACATAGAAAACATGAACTGACATACTTGTCTCATCTTTACATCAGCTTCAAGACATGACAAATGCAAGAGTTGAATTGTGTGCATTGTTCAGACCTGCAAACTTGACCAGACGTTGCCAGAATAGTGGGGACATGTATCATCATGCTATTTGGGCATCAGTCATAAAGACCAGCAAAGTTTTCAGCAGGCTCAGGATGCTAGATGAACTCATCAGGTCCCAAAGCATGTTATTTACATATTCTACCACTGTTTGTGCCAATAGTCATCCCATTTCAGAGGAATCCTATAAGAAAACCTGAGTTTCCACCTAAATCCAGGAAAACATACCTTCCCTTTAATCTTAGATTTGTTCAACAAGAAACCCTGATTATAGCCTCAGAGCTGCAAACCCAGACAGTGTAGAACTAGGAAAATGTTTACACAAATCTGCATGAACTCAAATGGTCAAGGGATTGCAAGCTTCTAAACCAATCTAGTCATCCTTATAATGATTTACTGGCTGGGCACAACTGCTGCCCAACAAAAATGGTGGGTAGCAAGTGCTCTGAAAAAGGAAAGCCTCAGAATAAAATACTTATCTGTCTGTAAAGAAATTTTATGTCAAAGTCAAGAATCTGGTGATTTTCTATTCATGAACTTCAAATATGCGTCACAGTAAGGACAATCCATGGCTTCAGAAGAAGACTCTCAACAGGTTTTTTAGATGATGATAAGCATCTGCTTGTGCTCAGCCTCTGGAGCCCCAGCTTCTTAAGACATTTGGCAGTAATGTGAAGCAAAATTGGCCTGCTTCTTCAGAACACCAATTTTTTATTAAAATATGTCCATTGCTGAGGACAGACAGACATATAAACTCTGGTCTCTGGCCATGATTTATGCCTGTCACAACGGATTTTTCCTATTTAGGTCTGGGAGTTTTTTTAATATTTCTTTAACCTACTACCAAATCAGTATTATTTTCTTAAAAGTTATTACTAATCTCCCTTGATCTCGAAGTAACATTTCAAAGAACTACTTTTTTAAAAAAAATTCGTGAACCATCTGCTTTCTATATCAAAATAGTAAAATCAAGCTCTAATTGTACAAAGTATCAAGGGCCAACACTGGATCTTACAAACCCAGAAGGAAATTTTTAAAAGTGGCTTCAGAGTTTAATGATACGAAAGAGCAATGTAGTTAAACAGCAGTCTTCATCTTTAAGGAATTGCTAGGGGCAATTTCCAGTGTGGAGGAGAAATTGAGGGAAACCTTGGAGGCAGTTTGAAGCCTATTTACCCCCCCCATTTTGATACTTAGGACTTAAAATGGAAAATAAAAGGTGGGGATATCACAAAACACAGCTGAGAGTGACAAGGGATTGCAGTAACAAAGGAAGATGGACTCCTTCATCTAGTTAATTACAGCTTGTCCCGTACTACTGGGCCATGCTCTGGGGGTGTGCCTGTGTGTGGGTGTGCATGCACTGCTCGATTGCTCCGTTAAGGCAGGCAGCCTCAGTATTTCCCTTTTAATGATGCTGCCAGATGATTAGCCCAAAAGCTCTTAATGAATGGGAAAAGAGACTGTCAGGCAGCAGCAGCAACCCAGATCTCCCCTGGGGCAAGCTTGCCCATAGAGCATCCTTTTTCTTGGTATCAAGCTCCATGACCCATTCAGACAATAACAGGGCCAGCTGCAATATATGTCTGAGATAGGACATAAGGCCCTCTAGTCCAGCATATACACAACAATCCTTTATGGCAAAGCTGAAGAAAGAAATCACGCAAACCAGGGATTCTTACAGAAATAAAATGACATCCACTACAAAGAAGAGCACTGTGATGAGTAATGGAGTCTGTTGTTTTCACCTTCTTTACGAACTTCAAAAAACTAGCAATTCCTTAACAAATAGGCCTTTCTTTACTCTGAGCCTCATGCTCCAGCTCCATCAACAGTTTCCTTTTCTAGTTCACGAGGAAAGCTGACAAGCACCCTGTCTTCCACGTGGTCGCTCATAAAATAGCCATCTTGAGGCTTTCTAAAACCCAAAGTCCAAGGAAAATTCCCTAAGAAGCCCCAGGTACCTAAAAAAAAAGGGCATTCCAGCAGGGCCAAAGGATAGGACTCAGAGGAAGGAGCAAAACCCTTGTCTTGAGAGATGTAAAGAATGGATAAAGAGGAAAAATCATTCTGCAGCCCTGTTAAGACTTTTTACCTGTTAGACAGGTCAGCTTTGCCAAGAGGGTGACCTGATTCCTTGGCTACTCACATACATGGTGCCTTTTTTTTCCAAGCCGGGCAAAGAAGTAGCACAGGCTGGGGAGCGGTCAGTTTTCTTTGATTCAACCGTGACATGCACAACAGCCAAGGGGCTGCTCTCAGGCCCCAGCAGTGAGGCCAGTCGGGAGTGCAGTTTTGTTATTGTAGCCGCAGGCCCACTTCCAATCCAATTACACACAACAGCTGTGCTAGCTCCTCTTTTCCATCCCTTTCCTTCCTCTCCTATATAATTCCAGGATAGGTTTTGTCATTATCAGTGGCAGTGAGTTAGGGTGAGTAGCATCTTCTCTGAGTGATCAAAGGAATAAGAGCATGAGGTAGAAGTCAAAGAGAAAGTTGTTTACCCCACTGTCTATGGAAGCAATAGTGATTGAACAACACTATCCCCTTTCACCCCAGGCAGAAACAGTATTCTGACACTGCATGTGGCATACTCCTAGAAGTATTCACACGGGGAGGGCTACAAACATGATGGTGTTTGAAAGCATGAAAGCAAACATGCAAGTGCTCACATAGATGGCCGTGAGTACAGGAGAATGTGTGCAGGTAGCAAGACCTGAGGGTGAATGCATTTTATGGCTGATCCATAAGAAGATGCATATCACTGCAAATCAGAGCACCTGATCAAGGAGGTGCACAAGTTGGGGAAAGAACTGTTAGGCATGGAATAGAATTCTTCAGCTTAAAAAAGACATATCTGACTATATATGTGATAGTGGGAAAATCCCCATTAAGACAGAGCAGGTGAACAGGAAATATCCTTTTCCCAGTTTGTGGGGAACACAAGGAGTAGGAGTCACTGAATTAAATTCTCAAGTAACAGGTGTAAAAACAGCTGAAATAAAGTATTTTCCACATTTCAATGATTAAACAATGGGACTTGTCATCACAGAATACAGTGGAGTTGAAAATTTTAAGTGGATTAGGAAAAACAAAGAGTGGACAGATCCACAGAAAATATGTTAATCGATGACTATAGAACACCACAAACTGGATGCAGTATCAGGTCAGAAAGTCCTTAAATTGGTAACTACCAGAAAGCACAAATGGATCTATTCTAACATAGTTTCTTCATCTTCCTCCAAAAGCATCTACTTTCATAAAAAGACACTTCTGGGACAGAGGAAATCTTTCTCTGACCCCAGTGATCACTACTACTGCCACATTGTTGCAAACAGGTGTGCATGGAACTGAAAAACATTCACATTTCAGTGCAAAAAAATCCAATTAGGGGACAATACCTGTGAAAAGGGCATGCAAGAATGAAAATAATGGTGGCACGTATGAAGAAGAGCCTAAGCCTGTACATACTGGTTTCAAACACCTGATGAATGGCACTAAAGATACAGCATAGATGGATTCCTATTCTGATCTAGTACCTTCTGCAAATAGGAAACTTCAGATGGGTTGAAACCCATCATTTTCATGCCCAGAAAGCAGAGTTTTTCTTTAAAGAAGCAGAAGCCAGCATACAGGTACTGCTTAAATGACCCTATGACGTGGAATTAGGGAAACCAAGTAAAACAGCAGCCCTGAGATGAAGAAGGAAAAGAAGCCTTTAAAGATGGAGTTTAAAAGATTAAAGAGCTGTATCCAAAATGTGCTAGTGCTTGTGCTTTCAAGGATCTCTGTATCTTTATGAAAGAGTTGCTCAGGCAAACAAGGACTAATTTTTCCTCAGGGAACTACCTAGCTAATGTCTACTGGGTTGTGCCCATTCACTTACATGCAAACTCTAGTCAGCAGCAAAATCATGACATCAAAATTACCAGAACTTTATCTCTTAGCCTCCTCCCCATAAACATCTAAGATCTCTCCAACAGTGGAAATAAGCATAGGATGAATAGGAAGAGCACTATTTAAACTTTGACACCCTCCAGGTATGAGTAACAGCCATCATAATATCAAGAACCCATAATTTGTTCTTTCTCCTGCATATATTCTTCCACTAAAAAAAATATCTAAGTGAGACAGGAGCATATAACTTGCTCCTTGATCTACTGGTCTTTTCCCAACTATTTACCTTTCAGAAGCTACACCACTGGTAAAGAATACAAGGAGCAAAGAAAGGAGCAGATATTGTACAGAGGTGACAGAGGCATCCATTCTAGTCTGTGCTGCACACCACTTCGCAGCCAAGGCACTTAACCTCTGTATTAAGGCTCTTAACCTCCACAGTGTTCAACCCAAGCACTCTAAGCATGTTGTGAAGGTGGGGTGAGACTGTAGCTATAACTCCAAAGGGAAAACTGAAGTACTGAAAGGAGAAGTTATTTCTCCTCTACATGACACAGCGAGTCAGTGACCCAGCTGAGTGCAGACAGCAACAATCCCAACTCCAGAGCACTGCTTACAATGTGATGTTGTTATTTCATGACTGGGTATATAACATGTGCAGGACAGGTGAGTTAACATCTAACAAATTTCTTTCATTTGTGAAATAAGCCAGATGGGATCAAGTTGGCTCTTTAAACAAGCATAGCACGTGAGCCCCTGTTGCTAGAGCACTCTTCTTCACAAGCAGAGACCTCACATCCAGGAAAGGCTCATGCCACATAGTTCCATTTACTTAGAACAAAACCAACTTCTTTGCACCTTGCAGAAACTGCACTCAGCAGAACCCTGTGGTCCCCACTGCTGCCAGCCCCAGTCTATTCACAGCTACCTCATCTTACCGGGGAATTAGTTCTAACCAGTCTGTTCAACAATAATGAATACTTAGTTAATCAGCGGGCTCTTTACGGCCCTTCTGCTGCCTGTAGTAGTTACCACTAGCTCATAAAATCCCTAATTTTTCTTTCAGACAGTGGATGGTTAAAGTAACCATTTTGACAGGGGCCTGGGGCTCTGTCCTCACAATACAGATCAGGTGGAAAGCACAGCTCGGCAGAGGGGAAGTGTAGACCCAAACCTCCTGAGGTCTAAGTCCCTGCCCAGTCACATAGCAGTGCTAGCATACCCCCCCAAGGGTGAGCTGAGTAGAAGGATGAGACCTCATAGGAGTAAACAGTGACAGAGCCCTATAATGAGGTGTGGTTAATTGTCAGACTGAAAACATTGGGAAGAGTGAGGGAGCACATGAAAAAGAGCATTCACGTATGACTAGAAATCCATGTGACAAAGCACACAGCAGTCCTGAGAATAAGAACATGCATATGAGCAATGGGGAGAATAAAAAATGCACATCCAAGTATATAAATTATGGGAATAACAGGGCAGTGGGGCAGAAGAGCAGTCAGGGAGCAGAATGGTGCCCACAGCAGTATGGTCCTGTGGCACTAGATGTGCTACCTCTGCTTGGGCCCTTACTAATGATGCTATTATCCTGCACACCATGAGATGTCCCTGATGTTGTTTGAGGCAACACTTGTTCTTGGCATAATATCATGAGTCCTACTGGTAGAGCACAGCAAGGCCATGCCTTCTCAATTCAACAATCCTCCTCCGCCACAGACATCAACATCTTCAGGGTATGGTGTAATGGAGATACTTGTGACCCTAAGCCTTTGGTGCATGTTCTGTCAGATCCAGCCAAGATAAAAGGAAACAGGAGTTCCTGGACACCTCAGATTGGGGTAGAGATGGTACAGTTTCACCCCCTAGGTAGCTGAAAATATTCAGTGTTACAGTTGAAAAAGCCTTTCTTTCCAAGGCATGCCAAGAAACATTTGCCATTTGGCCACTTCCAACCCCGCTGTTGCCAGCTGACATGCACACAGAATGCAAAGGACCTCGGTAGAACAAAAAGGGGGCTGACAAGAGAAGCCAAAAAATTACCCAAGTGGCTTGCCCTCACTGTGTCTCCCTGAAGTGTTGCACAAAAGCTGATTATTCCAGTGTAGAAAAGAAGCAAACTGAACAGAGAAATTCCAGGTCCAGGTTAGGTTTAGCAAAAGTTATTCAGAGAGCTGAGAAGGAAAAGAGCTTTGACTCTCCCATCATCCCACTCCAGCCAGGGCAATGTCAGCTGCTTCTCTGGGCTCTCATTTCCATTTCACATAATGATAAACCAGGTGGAGCTGCCTGAGTGTGAGTTAAGAATCAGTCTCTTAAGCTTCATTGGCAACAGGATGTGGACTATAGAGTAAAGTGGCCTAGTTCAACTAACCCTTGTAGCTGAAGTTGGGGAGCCTTTTGACAATGAGATAGCAATCTGAGGAGGGAGGTTTGGAGTTCTCTGTGGTAACATACATCATTGTGAAAGAACTCAAAAAATAAGCAAGCACATAAAAAACACATTATTTTTTCCTCTTAAATGAGTCATTTGTGCCCTGGTGGAAATAAAATTTTGATACCTAAATAAGATCACACGTTCACATTCAGCCAGAAAGACACTCACTGGTTTTTAAAAATTAAAAATAAAATAATAACAAAAACCCCCTTTTTTAGTGGAACTGAAACTCAACAGGTTATCAGTGGGAGTAGCAAATGGAGTAGACTGCAGTAGGAGAAAGAAAATGACTGAACTAGATTTACATGCCAGACTACACACAGATGTATCAGAAATAGCCTATATACAATGCAGTGTTCAATGCCAGGTAATTAGCAATACAAGCAACCATTTTTAATGTAATTTTTATTCAGAAAACATCCCTTTAACTGACCAGCACAGTGTAGTCTCTGAATAAGGAAGTTTGTGACCTTTGCTACTATGAAGCCCTCCTTTCAGCAAACATCGTTCAATACAGACCTTGTGACATCCAGTAGGAAGATTTGTTCTGTACACTCTCAGGAAGTGGGATGAGATTTCTGCCCTGGCAACTCCCCACCACCACTCCTTAAAAAGCAGCCTTTCCGCTCGGCAAAAGCAACACTTACCTGGAATACGATTGACATCTGCCGAGGTGTTTTCATGGCAAGCAGAAGGGAGAAAAAGAAGAGAGAGAAAGAGAAGAGAAAAAAAGCCATTAGAGATGCACACAGAAACTCAGCATCCTTGCATGGAAATCAATTTCATGCAAAACCAGAAGTAATTAGGTTTCTTTGAAGGCCACCCATCTGCAGCCAAGCACGCCGCCATGCAAGGGAGGAGACACTGGCTCCCTCTCCGCTGTGCATGTAAAAGTGAATCCACCATCATATCTGTCCGGAGAGAGAGTTCCTGGAATCAGATAGAACCAAGCCACGTCAGTTTCTGTAAGAATATTGGTTAAAATATTCTACTGTTTTTCACACACAAATGCAAAAGAAAGAAACAAAAGACAACCTTCCTGCAGGAGGTTTCTATAGCACATAAATTCAAGCAAGTTTTCAGAAAAATAGAAAAGAACCTGCTCCCCTTTTACAAGGGGCCATGTGAATTTATGACCAGGTGTAAGACACTCAACATAGTCCCAAAGTCTAGAAGAGAGACCCTTCCTTTTCATTCCTCTTGCCCATCATTCCCCAAACAACATCCTTCATTGCAGACAGCAGTAGAAGTAGGGGAGAAAGAGTGTGCCAGAGGCTTGTACCTCCCACATGTTGTCTTTTCACAAGTTGGTAAATCAATCACACAAATCTCAAAACAAGTAAGTCCTTTAAAAAAGGGAGAAGCAAGACTATGTAAATCATAGTATTGATCACAGAAAAGGCATGTCTTTGAATGTAGTGTCTGTTTTGGGCAGTGCTCACCAATCCCAGAGAATGTACTTCTCACAACTTTTTAGCATCCCAAGTTTAGTCTTGCTCTGACTAGCTACACTTACCCTAACACCAGGAGGGAGGAACCAAAATCTCATGGGATTAGATTAGATTAACATGTTCCTTCCAAGGCAGCCCTCAAAAAAACTAAAATAAAAACAACAACAACAACAAAAAAAAAACAAACAAAAAACCAAAACAAAACAAAGCAAAAAACCCAACCAAACAAACAAAAAAACCCCATAACTTATTAGCATTCTCCTCTGGAGGCTTGTACCCTGCCCAAAAGTTGTGCTGTTAGAGGTATCACCTTTCCAGGAAGACTTCAAAGCAATACATTAATGATTCAGACTATAGATCCCAGACCACTTCTGCCACAAGTCTAGGAGCATGACATGCTGGGTGCATTGGCTTCACACCGAGGTCTAAGAATGTATTCTCCTACCCCAAATGTACCCACCAATTTCCATCAGTATTCCCCCCTCCTGTCCAAACCCACTGTGTTGCTGTGTCTTCCTGAGTCAACTGCATTTCATTGGTGAGTGATTCCAGTTCATGTTGCTTTTTGTTTATCACTTTCTGTTGCTGTTAGCTTATCACTTTGTAATGGCTCCAAAACCACTTGAGGAAAAGTCCCTGTGGTATATCACCTATATATCAAGCTGTCCTTCCCTAAGGAGGTAACAACCTAAATAAAACAATGCACAAAGAGGGGAGGGACTATTGCATTGGCTCATTTAATTTCCGTAGCTTCTACTAAACATATATGTCAGATCTGATGAGGGTTATTTGTTGGTTTTCCTCTTTTAACACATAATTGTATCTAAGAACTGGTGTCTTGGCATGCAAGCCTGGAAGGACACTTAGCACTGAAAGTTTACCTGAAAGTAATTACTTTTATGTAGGAAAAGAAAACAAGTGTCAGGCAGCAATGCATGCACTGAGGATGGAAAGCAAAAGGTGAGAGCAGGGGCAGAAGAAAGGATCAGTGGCAGTTAGAGATGATCACATATCTCAGAAGAGGTAGAACTGAGCACCACAAGGTACTGCAAATGTTTCTGATAATCCAGAAGCTGCCCAAAAACCTATTCTAAGCAAGTAAAAAGCTCTAGACCCATGTTGTCTTATCACAGCAGGCACTGCTACAGCCCAGGCTACTTCAAGGGGCTTGGAACAGCAGGCAGCCTCACCAGTGTCTGTGCTCCAGGAGGAAATCTGTGGGATGTTTAGGGAATAAAAAGCATCAGCTGATAGAAAGGGCAAAGGAAAGAGCTATCTAAGAGTGAACAAGGGATAAACACATTAAGTAAATAAGAGAACAGGCGGTGGGCTGTAACTGATACACTGCTTGAAATAATACTTATTTAACTATGTGAGAATTAAACAGGTCATGAAGCTGTTAAAGAAGGGGAACAATGAAGTGCTAAGAGCTAACATAAGCACCTCTAAAATGTATTTTCTTTTTACTTGTATTTTTACCTATATTTTTTGTTCCCATGTCCCTAAGAGCAAGTATCCCCCATCCTGACTGATTTTACTCTTACCTTTCTTTTTGCTGTATTTTTTTTAAAGTTTCCACACAACACAACTTCTCTATACATTAGTTGCATCACAAAAGTCACTGTTTGTACCTCTGTGAGTTTTTGCAGTATCTACCTACATGGTATTGTGGCTCATTATTGTTACTTTCCATACTAAATAAAAAAGGAGTTTCTTGTATTGCAGACACCCCCCCATGTGGCATCTACTAGCAAATGCTGATTTTCAAATGGTGAAAATACTTAGTTTTTGTTTTAAAACAACACAAAAAGCACTGCTTTCTTTGTAAAGACAAAACATAACATATAGCCAGACAGTCCTCACAAAAGACCCTATAATAAATACCACTGTTGCAGACAATGGAAACTGCCCTGTAAATCACAGAATCACAGAATATTCTGAGTTGGAAGGGACCCACAGGGATCATCAAGTCCAATCCTTGGCCCTACACAGCCTCAAGAATCAAACTATGTGCCTGAGAGCATTGTCCAAATGCTTCTTGAACTCTGGAATGTTTGGTGCTGTGACAACTTCCCTGGGGAACCTATTCCAGTGCCCAACCACACTTTGGGTGAAGAACATTTTCCTAATATCCAACTTAAGTCCTCATTGGACTAAGAGGTGGACCTAACACCTCTGCAGTGTTGGTATGCCACTCCTCTGTGGGGCACAATTAAAACTGTGGTTGCATATATCGACAAAAGGGACCCACCACTACCTTATGACTGATGGCTCCACAATTAGGAGAAACCTAATGCCTCAAGAAAGGTAGAAGACAGAGGTGGCATACAGGCAGAGTGACCAGATCTGGGGAGCTGAGTTGACTCTCCTTCAGATCCTGTCATCTGAGATGTCCTCTCAATTCTCTTCAAGATTTTCTGGTTTGTTTAGAAAAGGATTGTTTAATACATGTCTCCACTCTCTTCCTCTTCCATCAGCAGTAGCTTCGTCTCCCCACACAGATCTCCTCCCTGACAAAGGGACAGAGGTACAGCATTCCAATTAAACAAGGAGCATGCAGAACCCTCAGCTAGCAAAAAAATCCAGTGACCACGGGACTTACTGCCGCATAGATGACGGTTTCTCCACTTTTTCAGCTCAGAGCAGTTCAAACACAGAAAGGTCTGCCTCTTAACAAAAGACAAGGCATAGTTTGCTTTATCCTATACACGGGAGTCCATTTATTGCTCCTTTGTAAAGGGCTGAGCTGCAAGCCGGTGCTGTTTGCTTTTGTTCTTTGATGCTAATAGCTGGGTTGAAAGAGGGATCAGCAGGGCCGCTGCCTTTGTCTGGTGCAGCCTCAGCCATCTGGGTGGGGTGGAAGGAAGCAGGAGGATGAAGGTGAGCAGCAGGAACAAAGCAAACGTTATTATAGCTCAGATCATTTTCATGCCTATACAGGAAACATCCAAGGTATTTTTCACTCTAACCTTTTTAACAAGAAGTTTAGCAAAAAGGGGAGGTTTCATGAGACTGCACTTCTCTCCAGCTGGAAGACAAGGACAGCACAGACTTTCTATGCATACCAGCCCAACAGTACACATCACCTTGACCTGAAGAGACCTACTTATGTTTCCATCTCTGTGGTCCATTCAGTCTTGTCCCTTGCTTTGATGTGTTGTGTATACCTGTCTTCTGCCGGCTAAACTGTGAGCCACTGACTGAATTCCCACATCACAAACAAGCTGGCAGGTGGAAGCATCCTAGGCTAAGTGGAAATAAGCACCTAGAAGTGAATGGCACTGTCTTGTACTATGAGTCCCTAAAGTTCTCTAGCATCCCCCTCCAGCATTCTCTGATGACTCTCTCTCTCTGAAGACCAGTGTATGGAGAGGACTGGGGAGCAGGCAGAAACTGGGGAGAGGAGGAGGGCAAAAGTCATAACACTTACAGGCATTTTTTGTATAGGAGACCCACTCCCAAATAAGAAGAAATTCAGCTTTTAGACAGGAAAATTACTGTATTTTGAAGCTTATTCAGATATTGATACCTAAAAGGCTTTTCTAAAGCAGATTTTGCTCTCATTCTGCAAATACAGAAAATGGATATAAGTAAAATTTCACTGACAGAAGCACGACTGATTGGGAACTCAGTCACTTAATTTGACTTACTGACATATATATACATATATATATATATATATATAAACTGTTCAGGGACCATAGATTGATCCATTTATGGCAGCCTGTGAAATGATTAAAAAAGATACATGATGAGCCAGCTTAGACTCCTGCAGTGTGGTAGTAAGAGGTGTTGGTTACTCAGAAGTTGGTGACTTCCTTAACTGGGCTCTGATGCAACATTTTAACAATATGAAGAGCTACATTTTGGCTCAGCTAGAAACCCCTCAAATTGCCATGAGCAAATTCTTTATTAATTTGATACTTCATCAAACAAAGTGTTAATTCCACATGCTGATTTGACAAGTGGTCTCATTCCATCCTAATCTGTCTGTTAAGGTAAACATATGGTCCTACTTCACCTCCTACAGACTCCTCATCTTTCTCTTCAGTACACAGGGGTTCAAAGCCTTCTGGGAGGGTTTATAACAACACACCAAAAAAAGGTACTTTGGTTGTATAAACACATTTTAACAAAAATTTGCTTGGGTAAAGATGGGGTCTGTAATGAGATCATTTCCAAGCATTAACACATCCCTATAGTGCCCATGCTCA